CCACATCTGTTTTCAAGCGCAGGGACACGTGTGGGAGCGAGTTTACTTCTTGTTCCCTCATCGATTTACATATTCACGGACCAGCGACACTGAGAAAAATTGTTCAGCGATATTGAGGAGAAACGGGATAATTCACGCTAGAAACAACTCGCTCGTTGATGATGAATCGTTTCATTAATTAAAAATAAAAAACGCGCCGCCAATTTCTTACTATTTCTATTTTTAACAACAAACCTTTTGTAGTATTATTTTTATTCTCTTTATTATTCTCTTCTTTTGTTCTTAATAATGTAACATTTGTTCTTAAATTAATTTTTATAAGAGTTATCTAACTTTGAAATGTGTACAAATATTTATGGATTTTATTGTGCATCGACGATATAACTATGTTTCTAATAAACCATTTTCAAAAAATGATGAGAATTTTTTTTATACATTTTTCCATATTCACGTATTATCTCGCGATTCAATAAACTAAAAAATAAATAATCTGAAAATTGTAACGATAACGTAACATGCTTATGCGAACTCGATTCTGGAAAAACGTCGAGCACGTTATGTCCAGATTCTCTATCTTTCATTCATCTTGTTGTTACATGACAACTTCGAGAGGAAGTATTGGAAGTCGATGGAGGAACGACGGCGCAGGTGCTTATTTTTCGGATTGACGCCCTATTTCGTTGCAATTCCATTGAAAATATTACCGACTGTATATCGGTTACCGTTTCGCGAAAGAGGATTGCGAGCCGATGCTAAGGGAACATCGATTCCCAAACGTTTTCAGAATGCTGCACACCAATTTCTTTGGCACGTAGGCCAAACGCTTGTTCTAATTTACTCACTGCAGGCACAACTAACCTTGCCAATCGGTTATTACTCGCCGTGTAAAGAAATGAAAGAGAATAGGGCCAGAAACACTGCAGAGAGAAATCACTGCAACTACTTGGATACCAATAATACCTTCTATCTTTTATCTTTTATCTTTTATCTATTATCTATTATCCATTATCCATTATCCATTATCCATTATCCATTATCCATTATCCATTATTATGGTTATACCAATATAACCATAACTACTATTTTTTCTTCGTAAATCCGACCTATAGCAATTTTGTTTCATTTCGTATTATGTATCATACAGTAACCTAATCTCCCTAATACTTAATTAAAGTTAATTCATTAAGTCCAATATGAAGATGGTTATTTTACTTTGAAATGTGTATTATAATCCATGAATTTCACTACATGTGTAATTTTGAGTTTAAAGAATGCAAATAAAGGTTCCAGACTCTTAGAGAGAAGTTTCAAGAAATCTAAGTAATGGCTCGGGTAATTATTTTGTGAAAACGACTTGATTCTTAAATTTGTTAAATAATCGTGCTCGTTTCGTTTACCTAGTTGTTTCGCACAGTCATAGTAGTCGCCAGTAACTAGGTCTTGCGTATACTTTCAAAAAGTTGAAAACGAGACAAGAAATCACACTGATTAACCGTCGACTGTGCTGGTTTTCCACCACTTCTATTTGTTCACATTTCGCTAAAAGCAGCCAGGAACAGTAAGCAGTAATCGTAATAAAGATTCTTTCTCAGAACTTTCTTTCATTTATAACTGATTCGCTGTCTAGCCGGAAGCGTGTGAACAAACAAATGATTGAGGATAAATTCTCTCTCTTTCTTCTGGTTATCATTCCGGAAGTAAGGGATGAAAGAAGAAATTGAAGACGTCTGCAGAAACGTAGGATTAAGAAAGAACACTTCCTACAGATATTTTTCGCTTCTTTCATTTCCTTGTGGAACCATAATAAAACCACGAGATAAATTTACTGATTTTTTATGTAAATATTTGACGTAAACATTTTGTAGCATCCCCTGTCAAGGCTTCGCTTTCACTAATTCGGTCACAATTCCATAAGGTTTATACATTATCTACAATGCTTATATAAAAACATTGAATTTAATTTCTTGTCTCGATTAATTTTTTAACGACTATTAGTGATGAAATTTCTTGTAAGTTGAGTATAAACATACATATGAAAAGTTAAATGGAAGATGAATATAAAAAATGCTTAATCCATTAAAAACCACGTAATAATTAAGCGGAGAACGATTTTAGACGCGTTAATTAAGTAAAAAAAGTTGCCTACGTCAAGTACTTATTATCAATTCAACGAGGATCCTTTCTTTACGACCGGCGTGACTCGAACTAACAAATGGAAAAACTGGCGTAGAATCGAAATCGTGAAATCGATACCAGGCGTTGATATGGAATTGATCAATAAAACTTGCCCAATGGTAGACAACGGGCGAACTTCTACCATTGTAACGGAAACTTTAATGAGACCGACTCCATAACACGGTGGTTTTATCCGGGTGGAACAATGAAACGGAATCGACCAGATCGATCTATCACACCCTCCAATTCGATACTCCGGCAACTGGACTGCTGCACAACAGAAGAATCGACCGATACGATGAAAGGAATCAACGTTTCGCCTGGAGCAAGGAATCGCATCGGAAAAAAAAGAGCAGAGAGAAACACTGGTAAACCGAGACGACAATAAGAACGGTAGTCATCGGTGAGCCTCGTTAACTGGATCAGGAAATTTGATTTTCTCATTCCCATTCAAGCCACTTGTTCCCACCGTTGAATAGCAGAAGGCGCGACAAGGACGGAAGGATAGAATCGAGTGGCAACGTTATGAAGACAGGCAGAACGGGCGATAGAGGATGACGGATGATAAGGGGATGAAACGAAGGGAAGGTAACTGAATACCAAATCGTTTACCTTCCTCCTCGCAGCCCGTCGCGTCGTCCTGTACATAATTCCAACCCCCGGATTCAGAAAATATTGTGCCCGCTACCGGTGGCGGACACGTTTCGAAGAAAAAGGCGACGGTGTAGGTGGGAAACAGGAGTATTGATTTTCTGATGCGATACGGCAACTACGAGGTGGAGCTATCGCAGCTCCAGTGGTAGCACCGCCATATTTGTTTCCCCCAGGAAGACCAAGGAGAGACTGCGGAAAGTAGATTTTCCAGGGGCTTCTTCCAGTCGCTGATTCATTGCCGATTCACGTAAGTACAACCAGTTGACGGCTAGTCGCTCGTGCTCACGGTGTTTATCCGCTTTGTCGCGGTAAATGTTTCAATAACGCGGTTTAATGGCACGCGACACTGCGGCGAATCCTCCTGCCAAACGTTGCGACCGTCTTCTTCGACGGTCTCGTGTAAACAATGTGCAACGATAGCTTGACAGGTGGTTGCATCGAATAAAAAACACATCTATACGTCTCGTTGTGATAATGTCGTAATTCGTTTCAAATTTGTTCATTCGTTTCGCGTGAAATCATTAATGAAAAACGCGGTGTACGTGTTGAATTCTTCGCGTTGACGCAGTCGAACGAATCTCTTCGTGTTTCGTTAGCTGATATTTTATCATCTCGTGTAAAACGAAAGTTTGTTATAAGGTGAAAATGATAGTCTATTTGAGTGAAATGTTGCATCGCAATAATGTGCAGTTTCAGTGTAAAACCAGGCTGACGATCATTACCCGATCGATCGGCGCTGCTATTCTTAGCTGCAGCACGTGGTGATAAAATGTTATACATTCAAGTTTGTAATGCTCGTTTCTAATTTCATCGATGACGCATCTTATGGATTTCACATGTACAGAACGTATGCGAGGTTTGTTATATGATCACATAATGTCGATTTAAAAATCGAAAAATGAAATGGATACCTTTAGACTTTAACAGAAACTCTTGTTGAATGTTCTCTGTGTAGTATTCTCCATTCAGTATATGCTGAATCTCTACGATCTCTTTATACATTGAAACTTGATTAGAACGAATCACATGCGATGCAAACGGAAGTAGTAGAAGTGCGTTGTGTTTTCAGTTATCGCTTTTTCTGCTTTGCAGAAGGTATCTTTTGAAAAAACTTTATAAACGGTTGAATTTATAAATATTCTCATTCATGTGCTATTTTTCTTTTCGCTTATACGTCTCTATCGATTATTGTTACAATATTCACATACAAAATTTGTATATAATGCGAAAAGTAGAAGGGTAGAAATTTGTTTTCTCATTTGATCATTATTTTGTTTTAAATGATGTTGGAGGATTGATAACAAATTTAGTTAACACATTTTACAAGATTCTGGACTTACAATGAACGATACGCAAGTGTCTTCCTTTGATTT